CCCCTCCTATCGTAGCCTCGATCGTGTGGCGGCCCCCCCCCCCCCCCCCCCCCCCCCCCCAGTGATCAGATTGGCTCTGTGCTGCACCATCGGGTCAAACTTTTCCTTATTTTCTCGCTGAAAACGGTGTAAGATGTGCAGATCGTATAAAAATGAATGATTTAATGCTCTCTGTGTATAATCTAAATGTTCGTCTACTCAAAGCAAGTGTTGCATCAGATTATTAAATGACTGCATGTACAGAATCTAACCTGGGGGGCCTCGGACGGCCGGTGGGGGTCAGCTTGAGCCTGCTGGATGATTTAAGGGCCTCCTAGTGGTCATTCATAGGTACTGCACCTCTACACGTTCTGGGCTCTGTGTGTGCGTGTGCGTGTGCGTGTTCACTGGGCTGCTGGGCTGCAGGCTGGTTTCTGACTTCAGGTGGGGGTGTATTTGACAACACGTTTTGTCTCAGGACCTGTGAGAACTTCTCTGCTGGTCTGAGAATGGTCGAGCTGCACCAAACGAATCTCATGCAACGCTTTTATTTTTCTAGCCGCGCTGGCATTTGTTTGGCTTTAAAGATTCTAACATTCGGTTCAGAACTCCAACCTAAAGGTGCATTTAGACACCGCGAAGCAGCCGTCCTCGTGTGACTATCAGACCGTCAGTTTCTGGTAAAATGCCGGCGTAGGTTCAAAATAAGGTGCGGCACAGAAAACTGGAGGATGTGAAATACTTACCGATGACCTGCGGAATGATTTAGCTCCTTCTGAGTTTGAACAAGTTCGCACTGTAAATTAGAACTGGAAACAGTTCAAAGTGTCTTTAAGTAAAAGTCATTTACTGATTTTACTCGCATTTTAATTTTCTTTATATGTTTACAAAATCCTCTTTATGTTTTAAGCTGCAGCGAGACCATGTTGGGTTTATCCGAAGCGAACAAGGAAAAGCAGAAGAGAGCTTAAAATGGACAAAACTTTAGCTATTTGTGGCTCGACGAGGGAACTGAAAGTTTCCGTGCGTTAAAAACAATATTTTCTCTTCTGAGGCGCAAATTAAAATCAAAAACCCATTTAAAAAAAAAAAGTAACTTTGGCCAAGTTCTTAAAATAAAAAGGTCCCATATTAAAGGAACTAACCAGAGAGGAACTTCAGTTCGGAAGTGGGGCGGAGCTTGTGAAGAATGGTGGGCGGAGCCTGATCAGGCCACTGGAGCTGACCAATCAGAACAGAGGGTGTCATTTGCGAGCGGGAACATTAGCCTTTTTATACACCTCTTTCAAATTGCTTCCCCTTAAATTGTTGACTTTTTTAATTTCAAAACTTTAGTTTTATGTGCTCAGTTACAAAAACCACTAATATTCAAAATTTCTTTATTATTAACGATCAAATCTGCTACATTCTGTGGAAAGCCAGGCAATGAGCTCTTTGTGTTCTGTAAAGAGTTAAATTTTATATTTGTCTCTTTTTCATCGGGAGCTTAAATCCGACGGTTTTAATTGAGATGAAACAAAATTGTTTTTTTAGTATTTACACAAATATTCAGGCTTTGGAAGGATAACGCTCATAAATCCTCTCACACTCGTTCTCTGCTGCTCCAGGACGTTCTTGTTGCTGCCGTATTCGCAGGAACCCCTAAATCTTTCGTCTCGCCTGCTTTGAACCTTTTCGCCTCGTTAGCGGGCGGTGGGCGAGCGGTGACGCTGCAGCCGCCTCTCGCTGGTTGTGCAGCTGAATTTGTTGCGGCGCGTCGTCTTGATGCAGCCGCATGCAGCCCCGTGTCACATTATCAACATGTGTGTGTGTGTGTGTGTGTGTGAGAACTGCCTATATTCTGCTTGTTTTCTGTACTGAGCCAATCACAACCCACTCCAACGTGAAAAGGAACTGGACGTTATTTTTATTATTGTTATTAATATCATATTAATTCAGTCCAGGCCCCCTCCCGCCTCACACACGTATAACTGCTGCAGTTTCTCTTATTTATTATAACTGCTGTGTCCTTTGGGAAACTCGAGTGATCCTTTGGAGACGTTTGTCGTGCGTTTGTGTTTTTGTCGCGCTCTTCTTGGCTCAAACACGTGAATGCTTTGAAACTGTAACTCGCAAGCCTTCTATGTGCCTCGATATAAAAAAGACTTCGGAAAAAAGCGTGTTGTGATGCAGGGGAGTTCACGTCCATCTGTCCGTGCTGTTGTGGAGCTCCGGCCTGTTTGTGTTCCTCAGTTTGAACTCGCGCTGGTTTCGGGGGGCAGAGTGTGGAACCGATGGTTCTGGGTCCTTCTAGGTTCTGATTTCAAGTCAAAACAAAACAAAGTGCTGCACGAGACAGACGGTGAGGCGGTACCACAGCTTAAACTGTCCTTTTGTCTTTAATTAACCTAAATCTGACTTTTTTCTTCATTTTGTCAAGTCTCAGTCCATGGATGTTGATTTGTGTTTGTAGAAAAAGCTCATTAAAATGTATCCCCTTTATTTAACCCATTCATAACCGGAACAAACATGAATCTGTTGTGATTTCTAACACACGCCAGAGTAGAACAGCAACAGAAATCTTCTAAAACAACACTTTTAAATTCATCACAAGAGTTTTAACGGCCTAAAATAGAAGCCAAAACCTAAATTATCATAAAAAGAAACCACGCTTATTGATTTTTGTACTTGTTTTTTGCCCACATGGTGGCAGCAGAGTAGGAAGTAAACAATTTGTCATTTTATGACTAAAATAAAGGTTTGTAGGCTCAATCATCCTGGTTATAACCTTTTGTTTGACTAAAAGAAATGATTGTTGCTTCTATAACAGAAAAAGAGCAACATTAGCTGTAACTTTGGTTTATTCTGCTTTCTATTTTATCTCTTAATTTAGTGTATTTGGACTTTTTAGGTTTTCTTTGTCCTCCTTTCTTCAGCAGCTGGTCACATGTTTGTCACGTCAGTCATTGGATCAAAAATCAACTTAGCTAAAGTTTCAGCATTTTAAGCTAAGCAAACTTCACAACTTTAACTTTGCTTAACGATTTAAATTAAATAGTATTTCAATTATTTTATCATAGCACAAATTTTGACCTGGATAAGTTTTTATAAAAACAAGCTGTAGGCCCCTCCCACAGCCCTCTCTGCTGTGTTGTAGCACCTCCTCCCAAACTCCTCTTTGCAGATGATGTTGTTGTTTATTCAGTGGTGGGCACAGCTAACCAAAAGTTAGCTTTGCTAACCCATAATTGGATAACCAAAAAATGTGTGTAATTGATGTAACACTTCCACTTGGATTATATTTAATGTCAAATTTATTCATGACATTTACGCCAGCACCATGACAACACTCGAACAGTCATACTAAAACAGCCTCTTTTATATCGGTGAGTTATTTTGATGGAATGGCCGATGTCCGATATTTAACTTTATCGCTAATATCGATACCATGCCGATAATATCGTGCATCCCTAATAAAATCACACAGTGCCGTTCAGCTAGCTGTTTGTGCACCGACCAATCACGTCTTGTCACGTGTACAGGAAGTGAACCAATGGTGCGCTTCTTACAGACTCTGAGTCCAAACGTGTGAATTTTGTTAGTAGCCTTAAAGTTAGCGGAACCTAATTTAGCGAAAGCTAATTGGTCTGCTAACAGTTTCTACAGTTAGCAAAACCGCTAACCCGCTAAACAAAAAGCTGACTTTGCAACTAGCTGTTAGCGGATTAGCAGAACCGTGTCCACCTCTTATGAACTACAACCCCAAAACAACTTGAGGACAAATAGCTGTTATTTAAGATGCAAAGTATGTTATAAAAATATAAAATATACCCACTAGCTAAAGAGCTAAACCTGAGTTAATGTTCATTCATAACCTGCACGTATTCGGCTTGTTTTAGGTTCTGAATGTAGCTCTGCACAGATCAGAGTCCAGAATGAACGCTTTTAAAACCTTCGTTCTCTTTAAAGAATGATCTGACTGAGCAACCCTTCTGCCCTCCTCAGCTTGTCTTTTGTTTCTCGTTAAGTTTCTTGTTTTGTTGCAGACAAACTTCCCTCCTTTCTCTCTCACCTGCTCCTGGCTCAGGTCCCACGACCTTTAGCACACATCGGTCCTGGAAGTGTCACGTCGGCTTCCTCCTGAAGCGTCAGCGGTACCAAAACGTTTAGCTGCTGCAGGCCGTGCTGAGAAGCTGGCGACACTCGACGGACGTTTTCTGTTTTTACTTCTACGTCTCGGTGCATTTTGTCGTGAGGATGAGTCCGATCAGACAGAAATCACCACGACAGGGACATACAAACCTCCCCAGCACATTTCTCTACCAGCGATGCAAATATACTTTAGAGAAGGACTGCATGTCTCAGATAATCAACTTTTGATTCATTGTCACGTCTCACAGCAGTAATTTCAAGGATTGTGGGTGTTTTAAGTGCCTGAAGAAGTCGTTCTGTGGTTTGACATTTAAACACTTCTCTGTTCAGGAATGATGCTTTCACACAGTTTGGGTCCTTCAGGTCCGCTCCACAGACTCCGGTCACGATGTGAGCGCGTTACTGTAAGAAAAGATGTATTTCTGTGGTTAGGGTTTGAAACGTAGAGGTTCAGATTTTACTCCGACACTTTATTTCCCTCAGCTTTTCATTCAGACCAACATTAGGACACAAACGCTTCAAAAACTGCCTCTAGTGCTCAGAAACTCTGAAAACTGAGTTTAAAATGAAAGTTAACCCAATTTATGTTGTAGAACTGCACATTTATGTACTTTTTATTCTTTTACAGTTACAGTTTAGACTAAAATAAGTATTTCCAACAGTGTTTTAAATTTACAGAAGCATAAAATATTAGTGTTTGAACATTTTGGCATCAACTCCTGCAGTTACTGCAAAGTCTAAAGGTTTTAAATACACGTGGAAAACTTTATTTAAAAATAAATCCGAGTTTTGAAAACCCAGCAGGACGACCTCATCCATATGTGTTACATTCTACACAATTAAACTAAGTAGCATTAACACAAATTAATTCTACAATGCAAACTTATTTTTGTTACTTTATGTACGGTTACGTTGGCGAACCATCGAGATAAAATTTACCTGGGAAAAAGGTCGGACGTTGGAAGTTGAAGCCATAAGGGCGCCTCCTGGTGGTTGGCTCCAGTTAATGTTTAAGCCCCGCCCCCCGTGTAAACAAACTAAAAGTAAAAAAAAAAAAAAACACCAGATATTTTGTTTCAAGTGTTGATTTATGTAGTTCTGGCTGCTGTTTGTCTAAATATGCATTTTCCTCTATACGTTTAGTTTAACTCGTTATTTGAAGCTT